CCTGGACCTGCAAAGCGGCACCAGACCATTACACTACCACCCACGTTTGATTGGAGTTATGTTTTTTTTAGGAATGCTCTGTTTTGTTTACGCCAGATGTAACAGGACACATCTTCCAAAAAGTTAAACTTTTTGTCTCATCAATCCACAGAATATTTGCCCAAAAGTTTTCTGGAAAATTAAGATGTGAGACGAGCCTTTGTGTCCTTTTTGGTCAGCAGTGGCTTTTGCCTTAAAACTCTCCCATGGATGCCATTTTGGACCAGTCTCTTTCTTATTGTTGAATCATAAACACGGACCTTAACTGAGGCAAGTGAGGCCTGCAGTTATTTAGATGTTGTTCTGGGTTCTTTTATGACCTCCTGGATGAGTTGTAGTCGTGCAGGGATGCTGCGAGAATGAGAAATATGGAGGAACCACACTATTTTATGTATATTATCCTGAGCATGCCATCTCGGTATGAAGGTAACACTTTAACATTGTGATTGTGTAGAGAAATGAGGTTGTAGTTTGACCATATGGTATTGTCGGTATCAGGCTTGGGGATCATAGTCACGGTTCATGTCTCTGGCCTAAAAGAAGGTCCATCAAGAAGTGCGTTAACTGCATCACCTAGGAGGGGGTCCAAGAATTTCTTATAATAGGTGATGGTAGACCGTCAGGGCCAGGGTGTTTGTTGGAGTTTACAGATTTTATCGCATAAGCTTCCTCCTCAAAAGTTATAGGGCAATCAAGATGAGCTTTCTGGGAAGCTGTGATTGTAGGAAGACGCAAATGTGCTAGAACCCGATCGGCTTTTTGCTCTGAGTTGGTGTTCAATGAAGCATGGAGAGCTGAGAGATGGTGGTGAAACAGTTGTAGAACACCGAGAGGGTTACTCGTATAGGCCGTGCGCAAACGTTTAAGGTGGATGGGTTTCTTAATCTGAACAAGTTTATGATCTGCAAAGCCAGAAAACTATCAGGTTTGTTTGCTTTCACAAAGTGTGGCGAAAGTAGCGAATCACATTCTTAGCTGACTCAAGTCTAGGACCGTTCTTCCCTCAGAGATGAGCTAAATTATGCCAGTGCAGTCAGGTCCAACACCAGAAGTGCACACAATGAAAAAAGGCCATGGTACAGATTTATTCATCTACTTGGTGAGTGCAAGCACCAGTACTTCTTCAGCTATTACAAGCACAGGATGCACTGGATTTTTACACAGTACTACTTTAAAAAAAATCTGTACACAGGTATACACAGCACAAAGATGCCCCAAGCTATAAAATAAGCCAACTTAATCCATGAATCTGTAGCGCTACAAAAGCTATATCTTTTCAAGATAAAAGATCTTTTCATTCACAAAGCCATTATATGTCAATTTAGGGAGACCCTGTCACCAACCAAAAAAATAAACTGCAGTCAAAAGCACAAAAAAATCAAGCACTGGAAATGCTTACTTGCAGCAATTTTTCCTTTTCACTGACTTCAAAGTGGCTCTGAACTTGCTGGAAAATTGGACTATCTCAGAAAAGTCCATTGCCTGGTAAAGCTATGTCCTCTTCTGGGATTGTCTAAATGCTGTATGTGCTGACCAAGCTCCTATGTAAACTGTCATGTAGTTGGTGGGAGTAGCGAAAGGGAATACTATAGAGTGTGTCACTTGACCAAGATGGTAGGACCCAGAAGTTTGGATGTCTACGCAAAGGAGGCTTTTGCAAATAAATGCCCACAATACATTGATTGGACATAGAATCCTACAGGTTTTATTGTTCTCAAAATGCAAAATGAATGGTTTGGCATCTTTAAAGCAAACATGTCACCAGAAAATAGCAAGTATGGCCATGTGTAGATTTTTTGAGGGATGTCATTCCTCTATAAAGGGGGCCCGTTATAGGAGCCCACAACGTAGACTCATTTTGGAATGTACAAGTCTTATTGCTTATCTTTGCTTCACTTTGTGAGCTTGACATGAGCCAAGCATGCAGTTAGTGAAGTGCTGTGACACCTGATACGCACCCAGTAGTGGCTGGCTTACCAAAATTACACACCAAGTAATAAAAGAAAGAGAAGGATGATGGCCTTGGAGCATGGCACCTTTAAAGTAACCTTAACACACTTGGTCCTCAGCAAAAAAGATACTAAATTTTTGTTATGATTAACTTAGATGTGGCCTATGTGTTTAATAACAGGTTTCATTTTCTTTCCAGTGAATTTTTGACATTAAAAATGATCAAAGTGATACAGGCAAATTTACTACTTGCTTTGAACTTCAGCTTTAGACATCTAAATTGATCACACAATTACAAAAAAAAAACTAAACAAAGTCAATGTTGCATCAGTCAATACATGTTGCTAAATTTGGGTCATTCATTACCCATTTATAGCGAAGTTTAAAAGTGATAACAGAGTTAAGGTCACCTTAGAAAACAAACTGCAAGAGGTAGAAAGGTAATGTAATAATACCTATATTTCCATACATAAAAAGTCTAAAACCACAATAGTGAAATATGCTGTCTCAAGTGATATATTCATCATTGAAACAATTTGATGTGTACGCTAAGGGCTTCCAAAACAAAACTGAAACAGCTATGACTACATTTATAAACACTGTAGAAGGTTGCAGAAAGAAACAAATTAAGCTAGGCCTTTCAATACATTTTGAAAACTACGCTTGATAAGAGACAGATGGAAGGTAACTGCCCGCAATATTGTGAGGCCAACAACAATTTCCTTTAGAGCACTTCTTGTGAAATAGCCCTACAATAATAATGTAAGGAATAGAAGTAAAAAAAAACACTAGTGTAATAACTAGTAAATACTATTTTCTAAGTAGCTGACACAGTTTAGCAAGTACACTGAATGACTGCATGGCTACAGTGCCAACTTTTTTTGTCATATTATTTGTCTCAAAACCTAAACTTCTAATTCAGTGAGAAAAATTACTGATGCATAAAACCGTGTGAATGAAGGAAAGGCAGTGCACCAAACAATGTGTATGATGGAAACTCTCCATTAGTAAGTAGAAAGTATATATGAGCTAGTTAATAAAATTATCCACATGCACTACTTATTCAACAGAGCATGGCCAGTGGTAGAAGAAAATGATTCCAATACAATCTTTAGCTTTCTCACTGCTAATGTGGCAAATGTTGTAATGCTACTTTTACCAGTTGCTATTGCAGTGCTGCACCGATCAGTTGCTACCACATTTGCCAAGGTGAGCCACATGGTTTCACTATCATCTGAAAAACATATTTTGCTATATCAAGACTATATGGAAATAGGATTCTTCCACCAATGCACATAATAGCTTGCAGCAAAGATAAACAGGCAAAAACAAAGAAAAGAGAGGTCACTGTGCCTGGAAAACAGGGACAGAGGCCAGAGTACCAGGAGGTAGAGTCAGTCTGCTGGAGGCTCAGTGGCTGGAGTGGGGCTTTCTCTGCCCAAGGAACCAGTGTACTGAAACAGCCAAGGCTATGCCTCAGCCTACGCACACCTTCACGTTCAAAGGGCCTGAGTCACAGTGAGGGACGGACAAGAAACAAAACGTTAATATATAAAATGTTTAGTGAAATGCAGAGGGAAAAAAAAAAAAAACTACATTATATAGACATAAAATACAGGTCATTCCAGTAAAATTATAAGGCATGAATAAAAGAAAAAAAAAAAAAAAAAAAGCAAAAAAAAAAAAACAAACAGTTCTAACATGTTTTAAATAAATGCATATTTCAGGGATACACCAACATGAGCCATGGTCTTATTCTCTTTGATTATTGTCTAATGCTTTAATCTAATCTTTCAAAGTTTAATAAATGTGCGGAGATAAATTCTAAGGAAAGTTATGAGACATCCTTCAGTAAAAAATAAAAAAAAGTAAATTAAAAAAAAAAAAACCACAAAAAAAAAAAAAGACACTCAGGAACAAGCACATCTGTTGTCTGTTCTCTATAGAAAGCTCTTCCACCATCAGCTGTCAATAGGATATCTATGGGTTCTCTAGAACCCAGGCAGCAGATCAGTAATTTTTGGTGTTAATTTAGGGTGCCAAACTTTTCGATGCAGAGCATTTGGTGCATTGTCCTTCAGTACTAATTTTTCAGCATACTTTGGCTTGATAGCTAATTTTTGCAACAATGTTTAAAGAGCCAAATTTTTTCTTACTTGTTGGCAGTGCGGCGGAGGGTTCCAACACCTCTCAGGTTTTTATGCAGGATGTGTTTCCCTTGTTAGGACAGGATGTGATGAGAAGTCTCTTTAGTGAAAACACAGACTGCAAAACGCTTTTTCAGAAAAATGTGTCATGTGTTACTATTGTCTGTGTCTTCCTGTCCTGGCTATTATCCCCTCATTTCTTTTTCTGCTATCACAGGGACAGAAAAGGGAGATCACAGACAACAATGAAATCTGACTTTTTATTTATTTTTTTTTTTTTAACTTAGTTGGGTTTGAAGTTTATGTTTAGAATGAGGGCTTGTTCACACCATGTCTGTTGAGCTGCATTTTTTTGCATACCACTGCATATGTATGGTATGAACAGGGCACATTTGAATCAATGTTGTGCTCTGTTCACACCATAGATGTGCAGATGTGTAATAGAATGTAGAAAAATGCAGCACAATGGACATGGTCTAAACAAGCCCCAATGGTTAGCTTCAAGGGTAAGTTCAGTGTTATTGATGCAGTGATATGATTCATGTTTTTAAATATCTGAGCTTTCTTATTTTTGTTATTTCATCAAATATAGAGATTTACCATTAAAGGAATGTATCATTCATTCACCCTGCTTTATCAAATGTTCAGAGCTCTGCTTTCAACAGGTCAGCTGACGCCGAGACTTGCATTGCAAAAAACAGCAGTCAAGCACAATAAATGTGCTGCACTGCAAAGAATAAAAGCAAGTGTGACTATGGAACAAAAATGTCTTCCCGTCCATCTATCATTACAAACTATACAGGGATTAAAATTTCAAGTCCTGAGCTACTAGCCAGGCCTTAAGAGTTACTCGCCACCAACAAACACACACAAACAGAGACACCTGTACACACACACAGAAACATGTACACACACACACATACAGACACATGTATACATACATAGGCAAGTACAGACATGCATATACACAGATACATGTACATACACACGCACAGACACATGTACATACACACAGACACATGTACGTACATACACACATGTACACATGCATGCACACAGAGAGACACATGTACATACACACACACATACATGTACATACACACAGACATGTACAGATGCACACATGTACATACACACAGACACATGTACATGCATACACACACGTACACACACACACCCACATAAAAAGTTGCAATACTTCGTTGTTCACTCACAGAGCCGGGTACTGCATTCTAGGGGGAGGCAGAGAGCACAGCACACACTCCTTCCTTTGCTTTCACTGCACTCAGCTATTGAGCAGTCTGCCAGCTCCCAGTGCCAAAGACAGATCTGGCCTGAGCTCCAAGCCTGCTCAGCAAGACGGCCCTGGGGGACACACTCGCCATTGGCGAGCGGAAATTTCAAGCCCTGAACTATATATACAAAAAAAAAGCATATATATATATATATATATATATAAAACATTATATTGTATATGTGATGTATTTCAACATGTTTCTGGGAATTAACAAAGCTACGTGCACCTGAACTGTCTGAAGTGGCATGCGCCACATTAACAGAGCAGACAGACCTGTTTCAGGTTCATCTGCGCCAGTTTCTATTTCAAAGTTTATTTTTTTACTGAAATTGTGTGCTTAACAGTTGAGCTAATATCGAGTGACATAAAAAATTGGAGTTACTACGATTTTATTCTCCAGGGTGTCTGCTTACATAAAATATATGTTTTGGAGGTTTTAACTAATCTTCAGACACAAAGTGATTTAAATATGTGCAAAAAACCAAAATAGCTCTGGCTCTGTTGATGACAGGACCTTAGACTGATGGTGCGTAGGAGAGAAGAGGATCGAGTATGTAAATCTATTTTAACAAATTCCCTACACCTAAACAAGCAATTAACCAGTGCAATGTGGGCACAATTTTCCACAGTTGGACTTTAACATTTAATGATTAAAGAGTTTTCTAAAAATGTATTCTCTCATATAAGTTGATTATTAGAGACACTTCATGTGTAAAAAAAAAAAAGTGTAAAAATTTCCATACACATCTGTATTATGGAGCAAGTGTGCACCTTGTTCTTATCTTGTCACAAGTAAAACCTAGAGTTCCCTTACCTGAATTATGCATCACTGACTCTTTTGTAACCATTTTGTATTGCTCTTGAACCCTATAGAGCTTAAAAGCTGAAGAGCAGAGGTATGTATCAAGTGACAATTTTATTTTTACCAGCCTGCTATGAACTATTATAATGAGCTACTACTACTGTGATCAATGATATAGATTAGTCACTTTTAAAAAGAACTGAAAATTGCTCAGTAAAAAACTTCAAATGCAGACCCATATCTAGCTGCCGATGGCACTTTTTCTTGACAAGCAATGGCTAGAGGAATGCAGAGGCTTGTTATTGCTTGGTCAGGAGGAAAGTGCTTAGAGCAGTCAAAGTGCTCATCCTTCCACAGCAGGATGGGAGGGTCACACCTCACAGTCAGGTTTAAGCACATAACAACACAAGACAAAATTCTACAAATGTATGTTTCTCATAGGGGACAAAACAAAAAAACATTATTATATATAAAGCCAAACCTTGAAAATAGTTTGAACATTCAGACCAACAGTTAGTTCTTGTAAGCTTTGTTTATGAAAACAAAGCTATTGTGTGGACAACAGAGCATGTTGTGGACCATACTTGAAGTCCTCTATAGTTACTAAGTTGACCACCATTGCTTTAGGCCTTTCTGTGCTTCAGCTGCCAGCCACTGCTGATTCTCAGGAGGTTCTGAACTATGATATTAGGACTGCAACTCTACATGAATTAGAACATAATAAATAGTTCATTTTTACCCTTGTTTGCTAAACTAATGACATCATGCTTGTGAAGATTGTGGAAAATAAATATAAAAAGTAAGTTCACATGCATCTTAAGACTGGAAATTTGGTACACAATTTGAATGCCAACCATTTGCCCCTAACTGCCAGGTTACATGTGTATACAGCGAAGTGTGTGCTTCTGTATTTGCCAGGTATAGTGATGCCACGTTGATCTGAATGCTGCATGCAGTGTGCAGGCTTTACTAAGTCAAGTTTCATGGTGTAAAGTGTATTGTCAAAACTAAAGCATAGTACAACAAAAGGTGCAGCAAAGCAAGTTAAAGTGGTTGCAAAGGCTCAACATTTTTTTTTTACCTTCATGCAGTCTATGCATGAAGTTAAAAAACCTTCTGTGTGCAGCAGCCCACCCCCCAACACCTACCTAAGCCCCATCGTGATCCAACAATGTGCACAAGACCCTAGGCTCTCCGGGGACTCTCCCTCCTCACTGGCTGAGACAGCAGCGGGAGCGACTGGCTCCCGCTGCTGTCAATTACAGCCACTAAGCCAATGATGACAGAGGGGGGCGGGCATGCAAAGCAGCTGCTCAGGAGCGAGCCTGCTCAAATGCCCCCATAGAAAGCTACTTGCCCTGGGAGCACTCAGCAGGAGGGAAGAGCCAGGAGCGCAAGAAGAGAAGGATTGGGGCTGCTCTATGCAAAACCACTGCACAGAGCAGGTAAATATAGACATGTTTGTTATTTTTTTAAAATTGCCTTTAATGTCACTTTAAGCTTTAAAGCTAATGTATAGCATTAAATAATATTGGAACAGACGTGAATAAATAAATAAGTCAATAATATCACTTCAACCCAAAGTCCAAAAATACTTTTAGGTAAATTCACAATGACTCAGATCCTATGAGCGGTCGATGGTGAAATTCCAGAAAATCTTCATGTACCTCAAAAAAGATAAAACCTACACATAGTGTATTATCTTAAGGTCTCATAATTGTGCCACACGTTTCACATGCAAACACTAAGGTGCCACAGCAATCGTGAAATATTAAAGGCAGTACAATAAGTAAACCCACTGCACACAATACAGTAAAAGTGCATAATTACCCTAAGGTAAATTAAACCAGCATAGGATCCATAGTAAGAATGGAATTTCCTCCAAATGACATCCTCTTCTCCAGACACTTCCTATAAACCTCATAAACAGACCAGGGATCAGCATTTGAATCAGATAACACACAATTTTATTGTAGCAACTTACATCAAGGAACGATGAAATCAGCTTTCATATCATGAAACAATATAGACAGCATCAATACTCAATGGTAGCTCCAAAGCAGTGGCCATTCAACTCTAACGGAGAGTCAGGTGGTAAATGGAAGTCCCAGGGATATGAACAACCGCGTGTTCCAGAACCCAAAATTGGCCGCCAAGGCCGCGTTTCGTCACATCCGGACTTTTTCAACAGGGATGTCACAAAACGCGTCCGGGGCACGTGACGTAGTGACGCATTGACGTTTCCGGAAGTGCCTTGGTAGCCATTTTGGGTTCTGGAACACGCGGTTGTTCATATCCCTGGGACTTCCATTTACCACCTGCCTCTCCGTTAAGAGTTGAATGGCCACTGCTTTGGAGCTACCGTTGAGTATTGATGCTGTCTATATTGTTTCATGATATGGAAGCTGATTTCATCATTCCTTGATGTAAGTTGCTACAATAAAATTGTGTGTTATCTGATTCAAATGCTGATCCCTGGTCTGTTTATGAGGTTTATGGGAAGTGTCTGGAGAAGAGGATGTCATTTAAAGGAAATTCCATTCTTACTATGGATCCTATGCTGGTTTAATTTACCTTAGGGTAATTATGCACTTTTACTGTATTGTGTGCAGTGGGTTTACTTATTGTACTGCCTTTAATATTTCACGATTGCTGTGGCACCTTAGTGTTTGCATGATTGCATGTGGCACAATTATGAGACCTTAAGATAATACACTATGTGTAGGTTTTATCTTTTTTGAGGTACATGAAGATTTTCTGGAATTTCACCATCGACCTCTCCTAGGATCTGAGTCATTGTGAATTTACCTACAAGTATTTTTGGACTTTATTTTGGACTTTGGGTTGAAGTGATATTGACTTATTTATTGATTTATTCAAGTCTGTTTGAATATTTATTTATTTTTTGTACTTCAGGGGAAGGATTGTTAAGTGACTTGACTGGGTTGTGTATTGGGTTGTGGTGGGTTTGTGCTGTCTCATTGTTACTTAATGTATAGCATTGATGTAGAGCAACCTTCACTAAATGGAGTCCAGACCTAGTGACAGCCCAGTCCGGGCCATCGGCCCACCACTCTGTTGTGCTGGATCCTCACTAAGTTGCAGTCATTGGTTGTTAGGATTGCCGGTGTCATAGCAACAAATGATGTCACGTGTGTGCCCTGCCCCCTGCTGTACATTTCTCCCAGCTCCCACCCCCACCTGGCTCTAATGGCCTGATCTATAGTGAGACTTGGATGTATGGGGACACCTGATATAAGGGGGCACTGTGATTTTTGCAGCCGATTAATGGGAGCACTATGATGGGGAAATCTCATGTAAGGGGGCACACTGATGGGGACACCTCATGTAAAGGGGCACCCTGATGGGGACACCCTGTAAGGGGGCACCTGATATGAGGGCACACTGATGGGGGAACCTCATGTATGGTGACACCTGATGAATGGAGTCACTCTGATGGAGACCACCTGATATAAGAGGGTACTCTGATGGGAGCAACTGAACTAAGAGGTACTCTGATGGGGACACCTTATGCAAGGTGGTTCTATTTTCTTTTTCTTGAAAAGAGAGATTCGAACCTCTGCTGAGTTTTAGGAACCAGACCTCCTTGAATTTAATTCATTACTCCGATGTAGAGTATAGCAGTGTTCAAGATTTTTGATTATCCTCACCGATGTATGCAATTATGTCTTCCAAGTGGTAACACGGTAATTCACTGCATATCCTGAATCTAAAGAATCAATTGACAACACTGAGAAGCATTAATAACTCGGGGTGAGAATCTGGATTTCACCCATCGGGTGCTGCCTGAGGCCAATATATAAAAGGGTGGAGAAATGGAAATGCAGGTGTCCAGAAGTAGGCATCAGGCTTACACTTAGAATTCAGGGAAGAGGGAAAACTGTTGTAGAGGCTAGCCTGAGTTGATGCACCCAAATAAATATGTTCGGTTGGGTGATATCGGGGATATCAATTCAGGGGTAGAATTGCTGGAGCAGAACACATCAAATAGCATTATCCTATTCCCTGTGAGCTGCTAAAACATAAAAATATTTCCAGTCCTCTGAGAAGTGCACCCTGTTAAAATCAAGGTAAATATCTGTGGGAGGGGCTTCAGTCTTCTCAGGATTCCTTATGCTGACAACCTTGTCTGGATCCACCTTCTTTCCTTCTCCTGTGTTTGATGTCTGCTTGGG